TTTTTTACAAGAATAATAAATCATTAAAAATGAGCGTTTATCAAATGTATAAGAGTGGTTAATAATTTAAAAATTTTTGTTGGAAGAGTTTCATTTCGATATAAAACATTGACTAGAAAGTATAATAATTTATACTTTTATTTTGCAAATTGGACATTGACATTTTAGTAATATTGACTTGCGATTCACGTAATTTATATTATTCTAAAAAATAGAAATAATTCATACTTTGACTACTTTATACATGGATATAGTGGATTATTTGAGTTGAGTACTTCATGTATAAAATTCGACCTTGTGCTCATATAATAAACCAGCTGGCGTAAATCACCTCGTTTAATAAAAAAATAAAATTATGAGTTTGAGTTCAACTTGTATAAATTCGGTCGGACTCATTTAATAAATATTACAACCTAGACCAAAACCCCAAACCCTAACCGAATTGTTCGCGGACACGCCGACTCGAACTTGTTTGGTATATAAGCTCAATTATTTGTTTGAGCTTGGCTCGTGATATATACAAACTAGTCGAGTTTGAGATTTCAAATGTCAAACCAAACTATGTAACAAGATAATTCATTCAAATAACATTAGTATATTTTGCAGCACCGAGTAAAAAAAATTCTGACTACGCCCTAACAACTAGGATTTTCAAATGTATATAAACTACCATATTGGTTTTGATATAGTACATAAAGATAGTTCTGTTGAACCAGTCGTGGCTAGCTCGAATTATAGATGGAAGAGTAACTAGGTCGGTTGGTTTAGACTAATAAGCGTTCTGATAGCTCGGATAACTAGAGAGTGTCTACAACTTGGCATGTAGAGAGCTCAGATATCACGTCAATGTCTATAGCTCGGCATATAAGGAGCTCGGACAATGCGACATGCACATGTATATTTGTAGCTCAGACATTGAGGTGCTCGGCATCCTGTAGCTCGAGTATACAAGTAGCTCGGTAAATGATTCCAATCAGAGTCGGTCCTAAACTTTATAAGGCCCTGGACAAAAAGTGATATATGTTGTCTTTGGTTCCTTTTTTTTCTTAAGTGATTAAAATAATAAAAAAAATAATGCTATTCTCCATATTAAAAGCAATAAAATCTAAAATAAAAATATAGCTAAATTTTATAAAATTTGAGAAATTTCATAAGAATGACAAATGAAAAGATAAGAAAAAATCATTTTCATTCAATAACAAAAAAAATAACCAGTCAAAGCTCCAAACTTTCTTTTACTATTTATGACTTTTTTTTAAGCGAAACACCTTAAAGGGTAGAGGATTAAGGCAGAATCCCCAACTTGTATATAGACAAAACCCTAAAAGGGTCGAGATAAACAAAGGTCTACACAAATCTAACCAAAAACAGACTAAAAACGAGAAAAGGAAAAACCACCTAAAAGGGGAGTCGAGACCTGCGCTGGAGGTGTCTAGGAAAGCAGGCTGACCCACAAAATGATCTNGAAGGTGTCCAGGCGAGCAATATAACCCACAAGACGATTAGAAAACAAAAAAATACTCAAAAAACTAAAAAGCTACCAAAATCTGAAAGAGGGGTAGCCGTCATGGTCCATCCGCACAAGAGTGCGGAGATGAAGCGGGGCGTCGTCCGGGCCAAAAGTGCGCCTCTGGAGAGTAAAGACACCAATGCTGGCTACGAAATCAGCGGGTCGGCTCTCCTGTCGAAAGATGTGCGAGATCCGATGGCAAACTGACTAGAGTGTAGACCTGATGCGCATGAGCAAGTGCTGAATCTACCACGATCCCTGGTGACTTGAAGTCAAGAGGGTGGCCATAGCGGCAGCATCTAACTCAACCAAAATGTGAGTAGAGATAGAGGCAGCAACATGCAGACCGATCTGAAGCGCCAGAATCTCCGTGTCATAGCTTGAGGAGACCCGAAGAGGGGCATTGAAGACAAAAATGAGATCTCCGGTATGATCTCTAATCAGCCACCCGCCTCCGGCGGCTCCAGTAAGTCGGTCGAAGGATCCATCAGTGTTCAGCAAGGGGGGTCGGGTCTCAGCGAAACAACGGCTCTAGGTCGTGGATTCGTGGGTGTTGTAAAGGCGACAGTGGAGGCAACATTAAACGGTGGGGTGGCGTGCAACCATTTCAGTCTCTACGCGTGAGTCTGCCCAGATCCGTGAGGAGGTAGAGATGTCGATCCACCTGCAAAACAATATGAGAGCTCATAAAAGTAAAATCCCTATGCTTCGCACTATTCCTCTCTGTCCAAATGAAATACATGATCAAACAAGGAATGAAGAAGCCTGCGCTGTGAGAAAAAACTCAGAAGCACAAAGAAATTGTATGTACTTAAATATGACTTGAGTTTAGTGAAATACATAACACTCAGTCATAATTATATAGATTTTTTTTACTAGAAAGTACTAGTTTTAATTTTTTTATTTAACAAAGTTAAATAACAAATCAAAATTGAAACTCGTCTGAAAATTATTCGACTTCACTTAACTATTTTATTGACTATCACTAACATAATTGTATTGTGGACCTAAAATAACATTTTATGTATTCATGCAAGAAGAGAAAATTAACAAAGCAATAAAGAATAATTGAATATATGTAAAAAGTTTTATTTTCACAAATAATAACTACTATTTAATTTTGTCATGATATTTAGAAAGTTGATAAACTATGAAAAACCTTGTGTAAAAGATAAAAAAAATTAAATTCAAGCTTAATTTCGTATTTAATATTTTATTATATAATTATTATTTATACATATATTAAAAATATATATAAAAGTGGGTCGTGGGATAACAGGAAGCCCTAGGCAGTCGCCCAGCCCGCCCCACCCCAGGGCCGGTCCTGCCCCAATAGGAAGCGGATCGACCTGTATAGTAGGTCGCATCATAACTGTCAACAGAGGACACGTGTAGGGTTATGAATAAAAAGCATAATTAATCGGACTGGTAAGAATGAAGCCAAATAACTACTGAAGGACCTACGGGTAGCCTAGTAACCGACGCACAACCCTTTCGAACAGGCCTTCGGGCAGGCGGGTAGGGGAGAAGCTTGTTGAGGAAGCAAATAATTAGGGGTGAGCTGATTGAACCGCACCGACAAAAACTAGAAACCGAATATTTAGGATTTGTTCACCGAACCACGTCGCAGTAGAAGAAAAAACCGAACCAAACTGAACCGAAAATTTCAGTTCGGTTCGGTGCGGTTTCTCGGTTAACCGAAATTAAAAAAGGATAACCACAAATTAATGTTCAAATTTACAAATCTATACTTTTAAGTTTTAAATGTAAATGTTTATCTGATGTTGTGTACAAATTTTTACTCACAAAGTCGCAGCTTGTATATCGTATATGTAATGTAAGTAAAATTGTAAAATTAAAGTGACACTTTATGATAACCGAACCGCACTCTTCAGACCGAAAACCGAACCGCCGAAATATTTGCGGTGTTCCAAAACCCAAATTGCACCGTTAACCGAACTTTTCAAAAACCGCACTGAATAGTTCGGTTCGGTTCGGTTTTTCAGTTTAGACTCGGTTTTGTTCACTTATACTAATAATCTCTTATAAATAGGTAAAATTGAGAAAAAATAAAGGTTAATCATACTTTATATACTCTAAGCTTTCAGTATATTTTCATATATTTTTTTTTATCACCTTATTGATTTGATCCGCCTCCTAGAACATCTCTCGGTATCTTTGTAAGTCTCCGAAGAGCAAATCGATCGGAGAAATCTTAGACAGCAGATTTGAGGTGCAATATGTCAGACTTTCTACCATAAATTGTCGTTATTCATAGTAGAATTGTAATATATTTACACGCATGTGAATTGATACTTTTTAGAATTGAAATCTTATCTTGAAATAGGAAGCATCCGTAGGCTATGTAGTACACGTTGTGGTTTGATTAAGAATATATATTTGCGGGTAGAATATACGCGTAGTTGACATATCATTTGATAGTTTGATTCATCACAAGCTGGAAGTGGTAGCTCACACTAAATGCGGGCTTCTTAGTAGACAGAGCGATTTTGTTTTTTGTTTTTTTTTTAAAAAAAAAAAGAAATGATAATGTTTCTACTCCTTTTAGATAACTCAAGATCATGACCTATCAGTTATAAGAGAAGGCGAGAATACACTCAAACTGTGTTTCATTGTCAAATCACTCAAACAAGCTAGAAGTGGTAGGTCACACTAAATGCGGGCTTCTCGATAGACAGAGTTATTTTTTTTTATTTTTTTTTAAAAAAAAAGAGGATGAAAAATGTTCTACTCCTTAAATAACTCAAGTTCATGACCTATCAGTTATAGGAAAAGCGTCTTACCACTCTAATTGCGTTTTGTTGTCAAACAGAGTGATTTTGTCGCTCACAACTTAGCCACATCTCTCACTTTTATTATTTTTTATTTTTTTATTTTTTATCTTTTTATGCTAGTTGTATCCCTATGGGTTAGAATTTGATATTTATCCAATCTGTACAATCCATAGACTAATACAATTATAATAATTCTATCAAATATGCTAAAATAGCATTTTATAGATACTATATTGAAATATATAATATTAAAATAGCATTTTCTATACATTATCTAACTTATAAAAATTCATCAATATAGATTTTATACTAATGCTATCAAATATATTACATAAGTATTTACATATTCAAATTGAAAGTACAAACTGCATCAGATATGAATTATTATGTCGTGTACGTAATATAATGAATCAATATGCAGTGTACAATATTGTAATTGCCCCATATTCATCATAGAAATAATTTTGGGTTCACTTAAACTATTTTTTAAAAAAAAAAATGTTTCAAAAATAAAGATAACGATTTTTTGGTAGAGTACTTGGACTTAAAGGCTTCGACTTTCCTATGGTAGAGAAGCTCAAAAGTCTACAAGCCAGCTCACATCAGGAAGCCCGTGAAGACTTTGCAGACCAATTGAGTAGAAAATCATTCAGAGAGAATAATAGAGCGTGTAAAATTTTGCCATAAAAAAAAAAGACAAAATTGTTTGTTGTACCTATATTTATTGACCAAACCTTCATAACTCCAACAATTGTGGATTTGTGAGGTCGAAACTCAACATTTTTCCTCAACTCTGACAAGTGTGAGTTTTAATTCATATCCTTCTGCATTAATCTCCTTCATTCATTTATATATATGTTCTGAAAAATTCCCCTCTCTAATTAAACGTAATTTAACACTTCTCAATCCATTTTCATGCAGGCTTTAGTTTCTTCAATTAGGATATATTATGGAGACTTCAAGCTTCAGAAGCTTACCTGATTTGGTAAAAGAGCTGAATCTCAATTTTAATTTATTCTTCCAGACCAGTGACCACATTTTCGAAAAAATGGAATTAAAAAATAAAATAAAATAAAAAAATTGTATTGATTCTCATTGTCTTTTTCGTTTTCTAATTGTAGGGAGTTGATGATGCCTTGTTCTCCCAATCCCATCAATGGCCTGCAAACAATTCCCACGTGGAGCTCAGCACAGAATCCATTGCCTCTTTAATCTATGAAAATTTCCAACACTCTTTCTCTCAACAACAGCCTGTACTGGACTTCAAACGGGCCGCGGAATCTCCTGGGCCGTGGCCCAATAGGCAACCCAAGCAGCTAAAGCCCACAAGCAACTGGGATTCTTGCAAAGCTGAAAACATGTTTATTTCGGACTCAAATCTCAGCATTAATCCATCATTAGGAATGGTGAAGCCTAAAGAGGAGACAATGTGGTCTTCTTATTACAACACCACGAATCCACCTTGTGAGAGTATTGCTTCGTTTGGTAACCAGGATTACTTTACCAAGCCCGGTAAAAGAGTGATTAGCACACCAAACACGAGAATGGCCCAAACTCCACAGGATCATATCTTGGCTGAGAGAAAGAGGAGAGAGAAGATCAGCCAGAGGTTCATTGCCCTTTCTGCCCTTGTCCCGGGATTGAAAAAGGTATTGTTTTCCTAATTGCCCCAAATTTTAGTCCAATTATAATAATGTACTTGTACAATACCCAATTACTACACACACATATTTTGTTGAAAAAATATATTTAAAATTAAATAATAATAAAAATAAAATTTGTTTTTTAAACAAAGATATTATTATTTATATTTAAAATGACACCGCCATTTACACGGCTTACTATCTTATATTATAATTTTTTATTTAATTTAAATCAAATAATTATTTTGTAGTTAAATCAGTTTAAATAATTTTATTGGTTTGAAGTAATATTAATACGTAACTTAATCTTAATTTTATTTTTTGCACCCGANTCGATTGATAATTTAGTAATTCTTATAGTTCTTTTGCAATATGTGAACAGATGGACAAGGCCTCTGTTCTTGGAGATGCTGTTAAGTACCTAAAACAACTGCAGGAAAAAATAAAGGTTCTCGAGGAACAAACTAAGAAAAAGTCAACGGAAAAGTTAGTTTTTGTCAAGAAATACGAAATCTGTGCTGATGGCGAAAGTTGCTGCACAGAAGAGAACTTTTCCGGTTTTGCCCCTGCAGCTACTGAGCCACTCCCAGAGATTCAGGCAAGATTCTGTGACAAGGATGTCCTTATCATCATCAACTGTGAGAAACGAAAAGGTGTGCTGGAAAAAGCAGTTGCCGAGATTGAGAAGCTCAACTTATCAGTTGTTAACAGTTGTGTAATGGCATTTGGAGATTCTGCTATCAACATAACACTACTTGCCAAGGTGTGCAAATTTTACATTTGTTTGATTTAATTATATGTTGCATGGTGCAAAATTCCAGCAAATTCTTAATGCGTTTGAATTTGATTTAAAAAAAAAAATGGATTTTTAATGTGTTTGTGACATATCGATTTCTCGCAGAAGGAGGAACGGTTCGACTTGAACATGAAGGAACTGACGAACAATTTAAGCAGTGCGCTTAAATTGTTCATGTGAAAGCGCATTTAGTAGTATCATTTCACCACATATTTCCTATCGAATTTCCGTTTTTGCCTTCATCATGGCTATAAGGCCTGTGAAGTCTCCACCATTTGAAGAGATCCCTTGGAAACATGTTTGGCTATGTGGGTTCATTTTGAANTTTTTTCTCTATTGTCACTTCATCTTTTTTCATGGTTTCAAATTTCAGCATTTGGCCATGTTATAGTGACTTACCTTTCTGTTGTAAAGTGAGTTACCCCATAGCTTTATTAGTTTAGAGCAAGGTTTTTTTAGTTTGGTGGATGGCTTGAGAGGCACTATGAAGCACATGAATTCAGAAGGATTATTTGTTGGTCTTTTTTTAGAAGCCTTTTCAAGAAGTTTGTTTCTATTAAGCCTTGTTTGTTGTGTGATTTAGAGGCCTTTTTATAACGTTTTGTTGAGGTCTCTCGCTTATATATGTAAACCGTTCATTGCATGTTAGCAATGCAAATGATGTTTATCAATTTTACCATCCTTTTGGCTAGCAATAATTAATTTAGCGCATTTTTTTCATATCATTTAATGATCTATCTCATTCTATATTTTAAATAGTACTCGTTTATATGCACAATATAGTATTATGAGTTATATGTATTATATAATATTAAAATTATAATTTAAAAAATGGTATCACATTTTATAAGTTTCACCATTAACTGATTGTATAAAATGTAATCGATAATGTAATTTTACGATATCATGACCAATTAATTACGTAAAAAATTATTAAAATTATAATTCCAATTATTCATGTGATTTTATGGAGTTTTTTACCATGCCTTTAAAACTAAATTTTATTTTATCACTTTAATCAAATACAAAAGAATATATGTTAATTTTAGAATAAATAATTTGAATGCAAAGTTTTGCAATATAACTATTTAACTTATACGTTGAATTGTATATTTATGTTACTTTTATATACTATTGAGAGTAAAATATGATTACTTAGTTTCAATATTACTATTATATGACATAATAATTAAAAAAAAATTAATTAGTACTTAGTTAATATTAAACTTAAACGAAGCGGTTATTACC